GACTAAACTAAACAACAGTGTGGAACCCAGTTTCTCAGCTTCGATTCCAAGCTTAACAGCCAGGAAAAGGGCTGGGACTGCAATTCAGCAGAAGGGAGCTTGCCTAGACATGTGCAGCCCTGGGTTCCATCCCCAACACCACAAAATAAAGGCCCATGATGAAGGAACTGCCTGGTGCTGTGGTGGCACACACATTCAATCCCAGACCTTTTGAGGCAGAGTCAAGTGGATCTCTGTTGAGTTGAGGCCAGCTTGGTCTACAGAGCTAGTTCCTGGGGCCACACAGTGAGGTTCTGTCTCAAATATTTCTCACCAAAAAAGAACAAAAAGAGTTACTGGACGAGGTGCCTGTGGGCACTGAGGAGGGCTCACAACTTCCTAAACCATGGCTGACAGTCCCACTGTGGTCTCCAGACAGAGCTGACAATTTGCACACTGCCCCATTTTGGACCTGCCGGGCAGCTGCTTGAATTTGGCACCTGAGAACCAAACGGAAGACAGGTGGTGTCCTCTTTGAAGGCTGCAGGGTGATCTCCAATAACTTTCTCAGCACCCTGGTCTACTTGGTTTTCTACATCCTCCACCCAGAGTCATTTCCAGGTGCCCGCTGAAGAGGCTGGGCGAGGGAAGGGAGACACAAACTGGGCCAGGGTTGTGCCTAAGAGGGCACAGTGATAAACCACAAACACTAAGAGATAGAGGATGAAATGGCCAAAATAGAGATTCTCTGCATCGTGTAGTTACAACTTCAATGCAGCTTTAAAGCCCACAGTTTCCCACTGCTCCTGGGGACCCTTCCCAGGAAAAAAAGATATTCAATGAGTCCCTTTGCCGTCCGTCCCCACCCCATGGCCCTGAGCAGAATCTGCATGGGAAATGTTATTTTCGTGTTGGCATGAGAAGGTCACATGCTGCCCAACACGAAAGTCCCCATGTAACACACTGCTTAAAGTGAAAGCCCTACTGAAGGCAGGGTGGGCAGTGGGCTGGCGGGCAGACTGTGTGGCTTGGTCATCAACTCTTTCCTAGTAGATCTCAGAGAATTATCTTGAGAATTGTTCTTTTAATTTGTTGCGTTTATTTATTTATGGGCATGTGGGGGCGCTCAGTGGAGATCAGAAGACAACTTGAGGGAGTTGATTTTCTCTTCCTCCACGTGGGTTCCTGGGGTCGAACCGAGGCTGTCAGACTTGGTTGCAAGGGTGTTTACCCATTGAGCCCTCTTCGGAGTTCTGCCTTGTTTACAGACTTTAACGTTCTTCAGGCTCTTGTTCCCTGAGATTCTAAAGACCTTATCCATTCTAATCGTTCCACACAAGTGGCCCAAGCTGAGTCCAGATTTGTCCTCTGCTTTTTAAGTTTACCAAATGCATCAGGTCTGGGTTTCTGGCAGCCACTTCCTTCGTCTGATCCAGTCTTGGACCGGCTAGTTGGGAAAGAAGGCGCAACCTAGGCGCTCAGTGCAGGACCAGCGTAGCCTGGCACCAGACACGATGGGGAGGACTTCTCAGTTGGGTCGTGCACCTCACACTCCACACAGGCGGTACCGAGCCCGGGATCCCGAGCCACACAGCGGAACCACCTCCTCCCCGCTCCTCCCTGGCTTTGTCTCACGCCCCGTGGCCCCGGCCCCAGATCCGCAGACCTGGCCTGGTGCAGCAGACTCTCCGCGCCCGCCGAGAACATCCTGCAGCAGCTAGGAGGCCACCCGCGCCGAAACCTTGTCGCGGACTTCCGGGTCGTGGCACATGATGTGTCATGTGACCGAACTCTGTGTCTGCTACACCCCTCCCGTCCTAGCCCATCCCTCCCACAGGCCTGCGTCACGTGGGAGAACCTGGAGGGTCCAGTTGCAGGGCTTCCGGTGCCACATTACGTGGAAGGACCCAGCTAGCGAAAGACCGACTTCCGGTATTGCGTCAGGTGGGCGGGGAGGAGGCCCTGGGCCAATGAGTTGCAGTGCGGAAGCCGGTTCCGGACAGCTCCGGGGCATCTATCAACGTCAGTTGTTAGCGGAGGAACCCTAAAACCATGCTTCTTGGAGCCCAGCGCTCTTGGCCCCGGAACAGCTCCCTCTGACCCCGGAACTGCCAGTGATAGATTCTGAGCCTGGAACGAAGACTAGGCACATAGTTTAGCAGTGGAATGCCTACCTAGAATCCCCTTGAAGGGCTGGGGGCGTGACTTGGTGGTAGTGCACTTGTGCAGCCTGTGTGAGGCCCCGGGCTCCATCCTCAGCAAGACAAACCTGTGTGCCAAGGATTGATCATTTTCCCCTTCTCTACATATAAATGCTTACCCAGTAAACCATATTAACGTGAATGATATTTGACCTGGTTCTTACAATGTGTAGCAGGTTATTTGAAGGTCTCATCAGTGGAAAATATATTAGGGCTTGAGAAATATATTATGGCTCAGTCAATAAATTGCTTGCTATGCAAACATGAGGACTAAAGTTTGAGTTCCCAGCACCACATAAAAACACCCAGACACTCAAACAGACATTTTAAAATGTCTGTTAGAGGCACTCTGCTACAGAAACACCCAGTGTCTTGATAGCCTGGGGTTCTCAGATGAGGAGCCCTGGCATCACTCATTTGTTGAGAGGTGGGTGCCTGTATAGGGGAAAGGGTCCAGCCAAAGAAACACACCCTGAGCAGAGCCAAAGAAACACACTTTGGCCCTGCAACCAGAACCAAAGAAATGCACCCTGACCCTGAAACCAGTGCCAAAGAAACACACTGTCCCTGGAATCAAAGCTAGTGAAAGAAATACACTCTGGCCCTAAAACCAGAGCCAAAAGACTAAAAAGGACCACAGAAAGAAACACACTTTGGCCCTGAAACTAGAGCTAAATCTGATCCTAAGCCTGTGCAGAAAACTATCCAATCCTTGAGCAGGAGATCTAGTCAGGGATATTGAAATCTGACCAATCTCCACCCTGGAAGCCCTATATAAACCCTGTGTCTGTTCAGCTTGTGGCTGTTCGTGCTGCCCGGCTGTCCTCTGCTGGAGTGGCAGAGGACAGCCACTCTCCTGGATTCTTCCCACCCAATAAATCTCTTAAATGAGGTTTGGGTGAAGATCTTCTTTGTGGCAGAGCAGAGACGACCTTGGGCAGAGACCTTGGGCAGAGCAGAGCAAGCAGGGCTGTAACACTTTTGCCAGGGAAACCTTCCCCTGGTAGAGGGGATCCGCTCTCCACTCTCTCAGGAGCAGAGCTGAACTGTAGCAACTTCACCTAGGAAACCCTCTCTGCCTGAGCAAAACTGCTACACTGGGAAAACATCCCCAGCTGGGAGACCCTCTCCTGCCTGAGCAGAGCTGATACACTAGTGAGGCCTTTCCCTGAAGCAAGGCTGTGGGCTGCTATGCTTACTGTGACAAGTGGTATTCCTTGGCTCCCGAGTGCCAGAGTACCTTTCCATCCATGCTGTAACAGTATTCTTTGGCTCCGAGTGCCATAATCCATCCCTGTCCATCACATCCGATCTGTCGAAATGCTTACACAGCCTGCTTCATATGCAGAAAAACAAGCTAACTGTAGACTGCGGAGCTGTCATGGTGGGAACCTGAACCCATGTCTGTCTGGCTCTTGTCAATGCAGAAACAGAGGCGGCTCAATTGGTAAAGCTTCCCTTGCAAGCACGAGAGCCTGAGAGCTATCCCTAGGTGGCCATGTAAAAATACAGCACGCACTTGTAATCCCAGCACTGGGCAAGGGTACACAGAGTCGAGAATCCCTGGGTTTTACTGGCTGGCCAGCCTAGCTTACTTGGCAAGACCCGGCCAGGGAGAAACCCTGTCTCAAAGAGTAAGGTGGGACAAGAAAAATGACTCAGTGCATGAAGATGACTGCCACACAAGCCTGACAAGCAGAATTTGGGTCTGCAGAACCCACATAAAAGTTATGCCCAATAGCGTTAGCATTTGTAATCCCAGCACACCTACAGGAGATGGGAGGAGGCAGGAGGAACTCCTGAAAGTAGCAGGCTTGCTAGCCTGGCTTCTGCAATGGCAGACTCTGCCTCAAACAAGGTAGAAAGGTAGGGGTGGGCATCTGAAGGCTGTCCTCTGACATGCCCACATGTCTCCAGTGGCCTGTGCATGCCTGTGCCTCCACATGTGAAAACACACACACCACCTGAGGACAACAGCTGTCCTCTGCCTCCACACAAATGTACACACATGTGCAGTCACACCCAGGAAAGGAGAAATGGGGTTTCTCACCTGGCTGAGTGTCATGTGTCTTCCAGGGCTACTGAGGCAGCCATGGGAGGAAGTTTGAATGAGAGTGGCTCTCAGTGGCACATATACTGAACGCTTGGTTCCTGGTTGGTAGAACTGTTTGGGAAGGAGGCATGGCCTTGTTGGAAGGAGGTTGTCACTGCAGTCAGGCTTCGAGGTTTCAAGAGCCCACGATACTTCCCAGTTAGCTCTGTCTGGTTTCAACATGTGAGCTCTCAGCTACTGCTCTGACACCATGCCTTCTTGACAGCTACCGTGCTGCCGCCATGACAGTCACAGACTCTAACCCCCTGAACGTGAGCTGCAAATAAAATGCCTTTTATGTTTTTAATAAGTTGCTTTGGTCTTAGTGTCCCCTCACAGCAACAGAAGAGTAAGAATACACACAGACACCTGCAGACATACCCTGGCCCATCTGTGGACCTGTGTCACGAGTCAGGGAGACGTGGCTAACTCCTCCCTTGCCCTCTGTGAACCATCTCCATAGCCTTAGAGCTCAGATGACTCACAGGGGACCTGAGAGTCCTCAGTTGACAGACACCTGCAGGACTTTCCCTGGCCCCATTTCTTCCTAGACTGGACGCTCAGGAAACCCTGGAGGAAGCAGAGACCCCAGTCATTTCCCTCACACCTTTGAAGCACGTGGGGGTCAAGTCTCTCACTCCTAGGAGCAGAGGTGTGTGTCCAGGCCATCTGTTGACCTGTCTGCCCTCCATAGTCACCCACTCACAGGGACCACTCACAGCCTTGGGTACATCTCTTTAATATATAATTTTTATTTCTGGTTATAGAAACAAACACTAAGAGGAGAAAACAGAGCTTCCCCACCCACATACAACAATCGAATAGATAAAAGAACAGTTCCAATGGATGAAAAAGAAAAGTAGAAATTTTCCACTTTGTTATAGATTTAAAACATTAACGTCTAATAATAGTTAGAAATCACATTCAGGTGTCAAACTCTTTTTTTAAAAAAAGGATGGTTCTGTTATAAAAAAATACTGTACCCCGTTTGAAATGAACACCCAGGTGGTGCTGCTTGGGATGTGGACCCACAGGACTTTCTGATCCCAGCCCTTACCCTGCCTCCTGGGTGGGCCTTCATCCACTGAGGGGGGGGGGCACATCCCATCTCCGGAACCCGGATCCCAGCATAGCATAGGATACCACTGCTTTTAAAGCACTACGTGTTAAACATATCATGGAAACACTTTAGACAGCCACTGTAAAAAATAAAAACAAAGCCACACATGCGAGCACGCACACATACTCCCTGAATACCCTCCCCCCAGTTACTTTTACAGAATTATCATTCAGTTAAGAAAAAGAACCACCTCACTATTGGCTTTAGCCTCTCTCTCACACGTGCCCAGCTGTTGACCCTCCCCCTCTGGACACAGCAGATTTCAAAGGGAGACCTGGAAGACAGTTTGGGCCTTTCCTTCCTGCCCCCACCTTTTCCCAGCCCAGGAACCAAGCTAGGGTAATATTGGGGATCCCAGATGCCCCCCAGGAAGGATGCTAAGAAGGAAAGATGGGAGAGAGGGGCGAAAATGAAAGTGTTAGTTTTTTTTAATTCCCAATTTTACCAATTAAAAATAAAAGTTCTAGACCAGCCAATTCTGACTCAGGAGGCCAGGGCGTCACTTAGTTGGATACATACAGTACAGAGAACATGAATACTCAGTGGATCATGGGGCTCGCTCCAGCAGGGTCAGAACAGCCCCAGGGACTCAGGGGACAGTGCTGAGGTTGCTCTGATGTGGGCAAGTGCTTCAAATGCAGGGATCAAGCCTGGCCACTGTCCACCCTCAAGCTTTGCCTCGGCTCCTGGGACCCAGGGTTCCTCCACACCATCCGTTCATTTTGTGAGTAGTCAGAGGAGCAAGGATTCAGGAGGTAAAGCAGCAAGCTCTTTTGATCCTCTAACTCTCACGAGGTGGGGGTTAGAGGGCAGATGACAGCTTGTGGAGGGGGTCCTCGGGGCCCTAGGCAGCCTGTGTTTGCAAGCTGAGCCCAAGTACAGAAATGCACACTGCTTTTCACGGTGAGTGAAGCCCTGCTCGTGAAATTTCCTCTTGGAGAGAGAGATGTCCACGATTAAGGGATCTGCTCTCTTTACCACTGCCTGCACCAGCTGTGAGCACTAAGACAGACGTGAGGGCAGCCATCAGCTTCCGGCCCCACTGGCTCACCTTCCCCTAGCTCCTGCCATGATGCCCTCTGGTTGGCCACTTCCTCTCACTAAGAACTTCAGGGGACCCTCTGTCCTGCCTCACAACCAGGTGGTACCTCTGGATAAGGCATGTAGCTGGCCTCATCTGTGGGATAGCCCTGCCAGGGTGTTTTACCCTGACCACCTGGAGGGTAGTTCTAGAATGTTCCCTGCAGTAGCAGAGCTGAAGCCTGCCAGAGAGAAGTTCAGAGCAGTAGAAAAGAAGAGAAGAGGAGCAGGTAGGACCAGCAGCCAGGACCACTTAAGTAGCTTTTTTTTTTAAACACAAGTAGAAAACTATTTTCCCTAAAAACCGTCGGTGAAATGGGTCTGTGTTACTTCAAAGAAAATGCCTGTGGTTGATTCTCAGAACTCCACTTGCCAAGAAGGTGACTTCAGGGGTTAGCGATGGGGGACCAGAGGGAGGGAAGAGGTAACCCCAAGATCGAGAGTCCCTTGGATAGTCCCAAATTGTTCAAATCACAGGCTGTGGGAAGCGGGTGCCATGTGCTGGTCTGTAGGGGCATCTAGGCCACACCCTCCTCTGTGTTACCAACATAGCAGCTTTTGGTACAGAAAGAAGAAAAAGAAACAAAAATCACAAGGAGCACTGGGCCACAGTGGCCCATTCCCCTAGCAATTCAGGAGTTTGAGACAAGAGGGTTACAAGTTCAAGGCCAGCCTGGGCAGCTTCGTGAGACCCTGTCTTGAGCTTAAAGAATCAAAAGGGCTGAGCTGGGCATGCAGCTCGGCAGTAGAGGAGCCCTTGCCTAGGGGCTTTACCTAGTGCACGCAAGGCCCTGAGTTTAATCTCCAGCACCACAAGAAACAAAACAAGACACAACAAACAAAACCCAAGAACAAACAAAACAAAAAACCAGAGCCCAACAAGCAGGCGATACAAGAACCACCCTCAAGTCAAGGCCTGGGACAGGGGACTCACAAGATGAAAGGGGACATTCAATTGGGAACAGGACTGAAGTGGCAGGTGGGAATTGGAGGAGGCCTTGGTGAGTGAGTGTCTGTTCCCAGCCCTCACCTGCCTCCCCCAAGCCTAAGTGCATGTCGGAGACCCTGCCCCCAAGAGAAGCTGGAGTCAGCAGCTGTGATCTTTGGGACAACTTGACCTACCCTTTGTAATATTGCTTCTAAGCAGAGGTATTCTAATGAGACTAGAGGTGAGGTGACACAGGCCACCACTTTGTCACCCTGAGCCAAAACAAGGGACTACCCTGTCATTATCTGTGGTGACTTTACCACTAGTGACTGGGATGCAATGCTCCCTACACAAGGGATCTTTCACCAGAATAGAGACTCACTCACTTTCTGACTTACTCTAGAGTAGGCAATGAGCTATTCAGGTGTGGAGGGAGGGGCTTGGTCAGCAAGGTAGAGGTGCCCACCCTAGAGTGGGCAACGTCACATGGGTGCACTGTGGAATTTGAGGCTTTGGAGGAGAAGCAGTAACATTCTATTTCATCACTGCTTCTTCTCTATGGGAAATGTTTCTTTCTTGCATTTAACTAACTTTTTTACCACTGCCCAAAGGGGTCCCCTCATCTCTATACAGGACGACACTGACCCCATCACCTGGCTGTACCCATTTCCAGCTCTACCAGATTACTGTGGAAGGCCATTCCCTCTTTCAGAGGAAAAATGAGTGGTACCTATTATCTCAGACCCCAGCGAGCCTGGCGTAAGGCAGGAGGGGAAGGTGGTAGGTCTGCAGATTATAAGTTGTAGAAGTGAGAAGGGTCTGAGGGACCTCCTCACAGACAGTGAATCAGATATCCCACAAAGGCAAGGATCCTTGCACAAAGGCAAGGCTCCAGGAGCTGATGGCATGCCCTGGATGCTAAGCTGAGGTAGGGGAGAAGACAGAAGAGGCAAAAAGGGAGGGGAAGGTAGGAATGGGAGGGGGACGACAAGGGGGAGGAAGAGAAAGGGGAGCTGAGCTCATAGGAGCACGTTCCAGCTGGCTATCCATTCCTGCTCTGAGCACTGGCTATTCTGGGTCTGTGGCTGTGGGCTGTAGCAGAAGCTGGCACAAGTTAGGGGTGCTGCCTGGTAGATGACCAAATTTACTTCCAGAGCAGTGGCACCAGGCTAGCCTTCTCCTCTCTACCTCAGGCTGCCCAACCAGAGACATAGGGCCCTATGTCCTGTAGACACTGGGGCAGTGTGCTCCACTCTCTGCCTCCACATCCTTCCACACCCGTGGTAATGGTGGGAGGATCTGCTTCAGAGGATGGAGACCATGATATTTTAGGAGCCTGGAGAGCAAACTGGTCAGGGCCATTTTGAAACCTGATGACAGATGTGACAGACGGTGATGCATAGTTCCATGCAGGGGCTGCACGCAGTGCCTACGATGACAACCCACAAATAATCTTAATCTGCCTTGCAGGGTGACCATGCACAGCCTTGGAGTAAATGGTGATGGAGGGAAAGATGAGTGGGAGGCACTAATGTGACCTCAGCCCATTCCTGCTTTCCCTAACGCATGCTCACACCAGGCACACACAGAGAACAAGTTCATGCCAGGCACAAAATGATGGGGGAGAGAGCCCTTCGCCTACTCCAAGGAGCAGCTCCACCTGGAAAACACGACCTCCCCCAGCCACAGCCACCCCAGCCCCACCTCTCTGAAACCTCCCAGGCAACAGACAGGAAGCCTTTAAAACACAGCTTGCTTCCAGTTTGAAGTTTAGTACTATAGAAAACGACTGGCTGGGGAGCTTGGAAGACAGCTCAAGAGGACCGGGCAAGCACTCTCCACTGGCCCGATATGTGTGGGGAACTGGTGGCTCCAATGGTGGCAGCCACAGGGTGAAGCTTGGACTCATCCAACCGGAGTGTGACCACAGCCTCCAGGTCATTGACTGGCACCCCTTCCAGCAAAGGCAAGCTTGTACAGCTGCAGGCCCCTCCTTCCCTGGGATTGCCTGCTTTTTGCTCATAGGCTCTCTCTGCTCTTCCGACCGCACCTGGCAGAGGCAGAAGGATGGTGGGAAGTCTGATGCCAAGGATAAGCTGACTCTTTTGGGGCTCTCTGTCCAAGCTGTCGAGGTTGCTTACGGCCCACCCTCCAGGAGGGCCAACGCTGAGCTCCTGGCTGCCTTCAAGTCCCCTGTCATGCAGCCAGGAAACATTCAATGGCTCCTAGTCCTGTGACTTGGTGTATGTTGAAAGGTGTTGCTGGTAGCTTGCCTGGGCATGCAAAGGGACCTTCTCTGGGGATCCAAGTCCTTGGCTGGCCCCCATACTTTGGTTCTTGCCACACTGTAATCAAACTTGGCACCAACTGCTGTCCGGAGAGGTAGTTTCCTTTCCGGTGGATAATGGCCAGGGACCTCAGCTTCAGGTAGAATAGAGGGTTTCCATTTGCAAACTGGACACGTCTTGGGGTGCTCAGGAAACTGGAATGTGTGACAGGAAGGCAGTATGAGCAGAGCGTTGCACAGATCTTCCAGCTGCCAGAAACACAGGACGCATTCCCTGCTATCTTTCACTGGCACATACCAATATCCTCCCTGCTGAGCAAGGGGCTGGCTGATGTCCCGAAGCTGCCTGGTTTCCCTGGATATCCACTGTAGCTTGCAGCTTGCAGCTTTGGGCTCAGCCAATGCTGTGGAAATGGATGTCACAGGCACTGCCCTGGGCTGATTTTCCACCCAAAGCACTTTGCAATATCAACTCGGGAGCCGCTGATCCTTCTTGGAGTTATCCGGGAGAGCGGTATGTTCAACAGGGGCTAGTGTGGGCGAGTGCCCGGGTCTGCAGCTGCTCAGCTGACTACCAAAGGGAACCCCAAAGACACGTGAGCCCTTCCGTGTGTCTCAATTTCGAGATGAACCCAAATTCCATGCTTAACTGTAAGAAATATTTTAGGGTCCAAAGCCAAGGTAGACCTCCTGACCCCAATTAATGCCACAACCTATGTCACTTTTGGGGAGAGGACAATGCATCCCAGCCTGTGGCTGGGACATTCCTGCCGCTCTCTGTTCTCTGGTCAATTCCCACTTAGTTACAAATAGGACGTTTGTAGCCTGGCTCTCAAGGAGAGCAGCCTGGGTTTGTGTCGCACTTCTGTTCACTCGTGGGGCTCGCTCTTCTTGAGGGTGCTGGCTGGGATCGGTTCCTGAGGAGCTGGGCTAGACCTTCTCCCACAGATGTGGGGAGAGGTGATGGCATGAGGGAGGGGTAAATAAACACACAGAACCCCCAGATTCGTACAATCAAGTTGTCTGAATGTGTTTATGTGTTTTGTTTCAAACCACGGGAGGATAGGAGATAAAAAGGAAATGTCCAAGTGTGGCGGCCACTCTGGTGGCACATGCGCTGCAGGCAGCTGCGAGGCTCTCCACTCCATCCTTGACTGCAGCGGCTGGCCACCTGGGCACCTGCGGCGTGAGTCCCACTCCAACTTCCTGCAGGTGACTTCACTCACCGGTGCCTGGGCCCTGAGGGCCAGTGGCTGCCGTTGCTGTGGGCTGTGTGGTGGCTGTCCCACTGGGTTCCTCTACCCGGGACCTCTTGACCTCGGGTTCCCCGCTGGAAGAGGCAGACGTGGTAGTGGAGGTTGCTGGGGTCGGCGTGGCATTAGTGGCCACCGAGACAGCTGCTGTTGGCTCCTCAGGCCCTACCTCGCATACCCGGGTGATGACCACTGGCGTGGATGAACTTGCCTGGGCTGCCAGGAGCTGCAGGGGGCTGGTGAGGGCTGGTAGCAGGAAGAAGAGGTTACTTAAGAGTCACCACTAATTAATCTGAGCAGTAAAGGCAGAGCCACAGTGCTCCTCACATGGGCATCTTTTTCCTGCCCATGGCAAGTCTGGGCCAGACACCCAACACCCAACTCAGGGTCCCTCTCATCTGCTGCTCCTGTCACCCTGAGGACATCCCTTCCTCTCATGCCTCTCTGTGATGCCTAGTCTTGATTAGCACCTCAGTGGGATTTACAAGTGCCAAGGGAACAAACCACTGGGCATGTCTGTGAGGGGTTTCGAGACTCGGGTCACGATGAGGGGAGACCTGTCCTGGAGGTGGTGACCCCTTCCTACTCTGGGCTCCTAGACAAAATGAAGTAGAGAGCGAGCTGAGGCGCGGCTTCCTCTCCCTCAGCTGCCTGGCTACGCCATGCCTTCCCAGCCTCGATGGGTTGCACCTTCAAAGTGAGCCTAAAGAAACCCTTCCTTCCTCCCTTAAGTTCCTTTCAGTATCAGACATTTTATAATACCACAAGAAAAATAACTACCATACTCTGGCACACTGAGTCTAGTCACTAGCACCCCAACCCCTGCCTGACTTCCTCTTCTGACCTCCCCTGTTACCCTAGGGGACATCTGGTCTCCCTGCTAGTGCTCTTGGATGGGAAAAGCAAATGCTCTCCTGAGCTGCACTGCTTGTGGGCAGGTCCCTGGCACCCAGGGTTCAGGCTGAGGGCAGGCTGGGGCCTCACCATAAGCGTTGCCAGTTAAGCTATTTGTGGGCACAGCATGCTTTCCGTTCTGAGTGACAGCCCGGACAGGAAGATGGTGCTGCCCGATGGTCACTGGTGTAGCTGGCTGTAGGATGGTGACTGTGTGTCCAGGCACTCCTGGGGCCATCTGGCTGGCGACTGTCTGGATGACTCGGCTGGCTGCAGGGATTGTGGCAAATGCTATGGTAGGTTTCTCTTCCAAACCTGTGGGGTAGGCAGCCAGTCAGAACCACGCAAGGCCCCAGCCACCGAGTCCCACTAAGGCCTCTGCATGAAGTTGGCTAAGGGGCTGCAGAATGGGGTGCCACTGGGACAGTAGGCTTCCCAAGAAAGTCCTTGCGGATATGTTTAAATTAACAGAACATGCTGGGTGTGGGAGGATCAAGAGTTCAAAGTCATCCTTGGTTACACAGTGTTCAAGGTCAGTATTGGGCTTCACAAGACTGTCTCAAACACCAAGAACAAAATAGAAATGAATAAAATATTTATACCTTTAATGTAACCAATCCAAATTTAATCTGTGGGGCAAAATGGTTTGGAGTAAGACAGCTTGCTTTTAGTGCTGTGACCATCTCTTTCACCAGGATGTCATTTCTATGATTATAATTATTATTACTTTGTCATTGCTAGTGGCTGGGGATTGAATCTAAGGCCACATGCATGCTGGGTCTCTGACACTGAGCTACATCCCCAGCCACTCTTTAATTTTTTTTTAAAGACAAAGTTTAGTTTAGCTACCCAGGCTGGCCTTGGGCTTGCTGTTCAGCCCAAGCTGGCCTCCACCTCCTTAGTAACTGGGAAGACAGGTCTCTGCCACTAGGACAAGCCTGCTTCCATAATGACAACAATAAAATACAAAGTCAACATTGAAACTGAGTTCCCAGTGGGAATAACAACCAAGACATAATGCTTTCTAGACAAGTTTTGAGGCTGCTTTTCACACACTGGGCATCTACCCCAGAAGCCCCTAGGACCAGGTTTCTTCTGGCAGTGGGCATGGGTGCATGCCTGTAGCCTCAGTACTGCTGGGGTAAGATGACTAAGTCTGAAGCCAGCCCAGTAGGGATATATATTGCAACATATAAACAAACAAACAAACAAATAAATAGGAGCTGGAGAAGTGGCCCAGGGATTAAGCACATCCACATAGTGGCTCTCAAGTGTCAACTCCAGTCCCAGGGTATCTGATACCCTCTTCTAGCCTCCTCAGGCACTGCACACAGTCTTGAGTATCAGAAGCTCTGTCAACTAAGGAAAAAGTGAGTACCCAGGGACATCATGTTGTCTGAAAATGCCTTAAAAAGAAGACAATAACCCAAGACCCACTTCCCTGCTTAGTGGACTCTGAGCCTATGACCCAGGCTCACACTGCCCAACAGTGACGACTCTGCTGGGACCCTGCCAGGAACACAGCTAGGGCTACATAAGGAACACAGCTAGGGCTACATAAGGAACACAGCTAGGGCTGCATTAGGAACACAGCTAGGGCTACATTACCTCTCGACTCATTGCCCAGGTCCAACACGGCCGTGCCTGCTGTGTCGTGGGAGCCCCCGGCTGAGCCCTGGCTAGCAAGGATGTAGCCATTGGCTGAGTTGGCAGAGGTGGTTACCACCCTCACCATGGTAACAGTAGGGGCCTGCTGCACCACATGGATAGCATGGCCTGAGGGCTGCTGTGAGGTCACTATGGAAGCTGGCATGTAGGCGACAGGCTTAGCCACTAAGTTGGAAGGTCGGGGAGGGACAGCCATAATCACCGGTTGGGCGCTGACAGGGGAGCCTGTGGGATGACACAGAGGACAGTGATTAGTGGGTGCCACTCATCTGTCACATCCCGGAAGAGGATGAACCTATGTCTTACCCGGGGCGCTCTGAGAATAGCGATACTCTGGAACAGAGGCTAACTTTGACCCCAAATCGGGATCATGTGGAATGGGGGAGCCCTCCCGAGACAGGCACTCTGGGGTCTGCAGGCCACTGGAACGAGGGGACATCAGTCCAGGATGGGTGGGTGAAGCTGGAGCACTCCTAAAATGAAGAGAAAGGTATATCATAATAAAAGTAAAACACAAAGACAAACCTCCCACCCCCACACCTCTCTGTTCAATGATTCCTAAGATAAGACCCATGTCCAGCCCTACATCTAACTCAATGATTCCTGGAATACGGCCCACCCCCTACTTCCCAGGATCCACCCATCTCCTCATGTCTCTGACCCTCACTTCCGGGGGCTTATCTCCCTAAGGTTTTCCCAGATCTAATGTTTTCTGCTGACCAAGACCATTAAAGGGACAGAGGATGGATTGCCTTCTAGCAACTGTACATCCTGTAGAATGCACTGCCTAAAAGGTCCTACCACTCTCCAGAAGAAGCTCAAGCCTATGTCAAAAGAAAAAGCTGTAGCCAGGATTGACAATGCAGGCCTGTCATCCTTGCTACTTGGAAGGCAGAGGCAGGAGGATCTTAACAAGGCCTGCCTAGGCTATAGAAGGAGCTTCAAGGCCAGTCTGCATAACTTAGCAAGACCCTGACCCTGACTCAAAATGAAAAGTGAAAAAAACAGGGATGGGGATACAGCTCAGTGGTAGAACACCTGCCTAGAATTCCCCAGTGAGGGGCTGGGGCATGGCTCAGTGGTAGAGCACCTGCCTAGAATCCCCCAGTGAGGGGCTTACCTGCCTTGAATCACCAAGTGAGGGCTTACCTGCTTAGAATTCCCCAGTGAGGGGCTGGGGTGTGACTCAGTGGTAAAGCCCTGGCTAACAAAATGAGACTCTTGGTTGAATCCCCAGTACGACAAAAATCCCAAACTGCTATTGGATGACATCTTAGAACTATAAGAGGCCAGTGCTGATGCAGGTATTCCTATCCCTGAAAAACCCCTCCCTGGCTCATTGTGACATTGTGACAGAAAGTACTAAGCTCTGCTTTCCTATAGATGGAGGAATTCCTGCCACTTGCTGGTTCCCTGCTCTATGCTGGTCAGAAATCTCTCATCTGAGAAATCTGTCTCGGGGGGGGAAAAAAAAAAAAAAAAGAAGTAGCCAGTAACTACCTCACTAACTTCTCCAACCAGCACAGGAACCTGCGAACTGAACACATAGTAACACCTGCAAGCCCACCAGGGCAACCATGAGTTCAAGGCTAACCTGCCCACAAAGGAAGACCTTATCTTAAAACTAAAAAGCAGCAAAGATAGAAGCTTAATGGTTTAAGAGCCCAGAAAACAGACCCAAGTCCTCAAGTGCTAAGCCCCTCCCATTGCTGGGGAATCTAGCTTCTCAGAGGAGTATGAGGACAGTTGTGGTGGTTGGGGGGCGCTTACCGTGAGGACAGAGGCCCGAAGGGGGTGCGGAAGCAGGAGACACCTCTCTGTCTCCGCTTTCGGAATGCTTGTTCCACAAGTTTGGCTTCTGAAGCAGGGTCTATCCGCCAAAAAGAACCCTTCCCAGGCTCCTCCTGGGACCGAGGGACTTTGATAAAGTAACGGTTAAGAGAGAGGTTGTGTCGGATAGAGTTCTGTAGGAGACAGAGAGACAGCTGTGGGTCACAGTCACCACACAACAGATACAACAGGAGCTATGACAGATACGTGGCTGCAGGTGACCACCCCTCCTGGGGAATAGGTGGAACACGGGGCAGCTCCTCCCATGCAATCTCCACACAGTAAAATCCACCCCTGTCCTTTTGGGAGAAAGAGGCGAACAAGTATGAAGGATCTCATCGGGAGTGGAAAAAGATGAGGCTGACCAGGCACACCTTGAAGGCTAGGTGTGGGAGCTCATGCCTGTTATTACAGTACATGGAAGGAATGCTGAGGCAAGAGGGTTGTGAGTTCAAGGTCAGCCTGGGCTACATAGTGAGCCCTTGACTCAGCAAAGCTCCTTGTGGAGCTGGGGTGCGGTTCAGTTGGTGAAACGCTTGCCTGGCATGTGGAAAGGCCCTGGCTTCTGCCCCTGCATCACATAAACCAGGTACGGTGAGTGCACAGCTATAATTTCAGCACTCAGGAAGTGGAGGCAAGAGGACCAGGCGTTTAAGGTCAACGTTGGCTATAAAGAAAGTTCAAAGTCAGTCTGGGCTACATGAGATCTTGCCTCAAAACAAAAGAAACAAGGAAAATAACAAAAAGATTCTTCTGGATAAACTAGCCAATGGAAAATGGTAATTACAGAGAAAAGAATAAAATGGTATAATCTGTGTCCATTTTGTGTAATGCAGAGGTCTCATAGCCTCCAAGAAAAATAAAATGCACGAAACTCATGCACATGGATCACTGCACTAAATGATGGGCGCAGGGGACTGCTACAGTGCTACAGTGCGGGGGGGGGGGGGGGGCGGGCGGGCTACAGTGCCCAGTAAGAACAGATGCCATTGGTAAGCAGGTGTGGTGGTGGCTCAAGGTTGATCCCAGCACTCAGGAGGCTGAGGCAGGAGGACTGCCATGATTTCAAGGCTAGTCTAGCATGAGACACTGTCTCAAAACAACTACAAAGAAAAAAGTTGCAGCCAGGCATGAAGGAAAAGTAGTAAAAACAGATCATCGTAGGGCTGGGATGTGGCTCAGCTGGTGTGTGTAGGAGTCCTGGGTTTCACTCCTAGCACTGCAAAGCATGGCATGGTGGCACATGCCTGTAACTCCAGCATTTCACAAACAGGAGGTCATCCTTGGCTACATAAGAAGTTTGAAGTCAACCTGGGCTACATGAGACCTTTTCACAGCAACAAAACAAAAACAGCTCTAAACACCACCGAAGTACCATGGCCTGAGTGTCACCTGGGAAAACACCCAGGTGTCTCTGCGCTGTTTGTTCACATGATACACCGAGTCCGTATCTGAACCTCCAAGCACAGCCCAGACCCCCAGGGCCTCACCTGCCAGCCCTTGTCAGCAGTCCTGTAGTAAGGGTAATGTTTGGTGATGTGGGCGTAGATGCCACTTAGTGTTAGCTGCCTGTCCTGTGCCGAGGAGATAGCCTGAACGATCAGCTGCGCATAGGAGTACGGTGGCTTTGACTCATCCTAAAGGGCAGAGTTCACAGAAGACAGAGTTATAGGGCGGTGCGGGGAGAGGATAGGAGAGGATCTCCCCAAGTCAGGCCACCCACTCCCGACACAGGGGAAAGCGTTTGGATGAGTCGCACCAGGAAGCCTGCCTCATCCGTTAGCACGCTTGCATAAACTCTGAGCAATGACATATAGCAGACTGCACCTGTTCCCAGCAACTGGAAGGCTGAGGCAGGAGGATTGCCTTGATTCTGAGGTTAAACTGGGTTGTGGCTGAGACCTTGTCTTAAAAACCCAAATAACAACAACAGAAAGAATTCAGAACAGTGCTGTTGGGCCAGGTGTGATGCATACTGTAGTCCTAGCACTTGAGTTTTAGGCCAGTCTCAGCTACACAAGCTTCTCAAAAAAAAAAAAAAAAAAAAAAAAGGAAAGGAAAGGAAAGACAAAAGAAGATGGTCTGGGGAATGGCTGAGTGTATGAAGTGCTCGTCATGCAACCATGAAGAGCAAGTTCAGATCCTCAGCACCCATGCAAAACGCCAGACATGGTGTCACACATGTGATGCCAGTAACTCCTTGACTGCCCAGCCTAGACTAAAGGGTGAGCACATGTTCAGTAAAGGACTCTGTCTTAAAAACAATGTGGAAAGGGTTGAACAGGACACGGCGTGGGCAAGCACAGCTGCACATGTCTATGTGTGCAGACAGAACAGACGAGAAAAAACTGAACAGAAACACCGAGTCCCAGATCTGAGGAGAGAAAACAAGTTGAGCCATAACTCTGCAGCTCTTTTTGTCCAGCACACCGTCAGGGACCACAGGAACAGAAGCAAAGGCACATGTGGCTGGCCTGGGAGTGCTGGCCTGGTATCCAAGCTACTCAGAAGGCTGAGGCAGGAAGGTCACAAGTTCAAAACCAGCCTGGGATACTTAGTGAGACTTTGTCCCAAAATAAAAAGTAAAACACGGGTGAGTGGGTGGCAAATTGCTCCTGGGTTCAATTTCCAGCACTGTCAAAAGGGGTGGGTAAAGCTGGGTGGTGGTGGTGCACACCTTTGATCCCAGCACTCGGGAGGCAGAGGCAGAGGATCTCTGTGAGTTCAAGGCCAGCCTGGTCTACAGAGTGAATTCCAGGACAGGGTCCAAAACAATACAGAGAAACCCTGTCTCAAAAAAAAAAAAATGTGTCATTTGTCTTAAAGACTATTACCAACTCTGGAACTGTCACCAGTAGTGGTTGGAACAAGTAAGAACTGGGTGGGTGACAGGACTCCAGCTCACCACAAATGCTCAAGCACATCATTTGGGAATGGCACAGGTAGACCCCTCAAAGCAGCCATGTGCAGCACCCCGGAGTGCCCCATCTGAGCCACCTGCAGGACCCCTACTGTGGGTTGAGTCTTGGTCACCACGACAACACTTCTGAGGCTCAGACCTTGGGGCTGTCCCCACCAGATGTGTCTGCTTGCTGCTCAGAGGCTGCCTTCGCTGCGAACTCTGCGGCCAGCTGAAGGTCTGATGTCACGTTCTGGACGAAGCGGTAACTGGACGACCCAGCTCCTCGAGGACTGGCTGGACAGGAGTTGGGAACGCTGGAGAGAAGAAAAAACACACATGAGACTCTGGGAAGGAGATCTCTGGGTAGGGACACTGTTTCTGAACCACCATGGGTGATGGAGGGAGGGTAGTATTAGTGGGTGACCAGTTTCAGAAAAATCGAGAAATACAACCAAGGAACTCAAGAAATGTCAAACATACATCCCTCTTTCCTCCGAGGCCAAGACTAAAGTTGCAGGAAGTCAAATCCCCAGGCCATGAGTTCCTAAGCAAGAAAGCAGTAGCTGGATGGATTGCTCCAGCAAAAGCAAGCTGCTTCTCCACTTCAGGCTGTGAAGACACGGCTAGTGAGAAGGTGACCACAAGATGGCACCCTAAGAACAGGCTTGCATAGCGAGTAACTAACTCCACACAAGGAAACTGAGGAGGTGGCAGGGGCCTGCTGGCAGGCAGATGAGGAGGCACATAGAGGTCTCTGGCCCAAGTCATCAGCTCCACAGTGAACTACCACTAGGGAAGGCAGCACAGCTGCGGGCTGTGCAGGACAGGAGGACCTGGCCAGTCCTGCCTGGATCCCGGGGCTGACGTTGGTTGGCCGATCAGCAGGCTAAAGGATTAAGACAGGCTCCAGTAGGCCGGTGAGCTGGCTCAGCATGTGAAGATGTTTGCTGCCATCGAAGACCACCTAAGTTCAATCCCCAAGCCCTACATGGTGGGAGAATCTAACTGACTCCCACAGGTTGCCCTCTGGCCTATACACATACACACACACACACACACACACACACACACACACACACACACACACACACAAATACAATGAAGTGTAAAAGATAAAAACTGAAATGCTTCAAACAGAGAGAAGTAACCAAACCCTGAAAGGGGGGGTCCTGTCAGTGTTCTGCACGCTGTCCCTGCCCTCACTGTAGACAGCCTGTGATGTCATCCCTGACAAAACCTGTGGCTGCAGGACAAGTGTCGGAACACTGCTCTCTTTCTCTGCCTGCAGCTCCTCCGGCTGTGGGAAACACCCAGAAGGTCACTGCTCTCTAGCATGCCTGGCCCCTGCCTCATGCTGGAGCTACTTCTTTGGCAGGGATGTTTCCTGTTCCCCAGACTCACCTGCACATTCTCCCTAAACTCACATGCACAGTCTGTGACCCCTCATACCTGGGACGTGCACCCATGGGTGGCTGCTGGTCCATCTCCCTCTTTCTGGGAGCTACACAGGACTGAGCAAAGGCTCCCTCAGGCAGAGTGGGAGGATGAATTCCTTCTGGGGTCACAGTCCCTATGTAGGAAAGAGGGGCGCACACCACCCAGAATCCTGAGACCTTTACTTTAAGAACTCACATTCTCTTCTCCTTTGACACCTCAAATTTTGGTAATTTCTGTGCTTGTAGAGGTCTCCCTGGTAGGCACCTTGGCCTCCTCCCTTTCCCATGTCCTTACGATCTAGCTGAGGTCTTGATACATAAAGTTCAGTAAGTAAACTGAGACCCAAAAGGAGGAAACCAAAAGAAACTTTCCGGAGGTCCCTTTAAGAGGGGATCCTCATTGTGTAGCTCAGACTGGTCTCAAACTCACCATCCTCCTGTCTCATTTTTCTGAGTGTTAGAAATATAGGCACGAGCCACTATACCTGGCTTGGATTTAATTCTTTCCCTTTTTCCCTTGAGGTGGGGGTCTCATTATGGCCTAGAACTTCCTATGAGGCCAGTGTGGGGATTCCCAAGCCTGATACCACACTAGGGTGGATTTAATTGAGTCTAAAATATAAACCCAAGTACAGGATGGGGAGGCAAGGAGAGGATAAATCTTCAGCATGCACACACTCAAAAACCAGGTTTCACTGGGCATAATGCAGTTCGCCTTTAATCCCAGCACTGGGAGGCAGAGGCAGGCAGATCTGAGTTCCAGGCCAGCCTGGTCTACAGAGAGAGTTCCAAGACAGCTAGCGCTACACACCCTGTCTCAAAAGCAAACAAACAAACAAATGAAATTTAAAGACCAGGTTTCAAAACCAGACTTGGAGCACAGGCATGGTCATGGGGAATCGGGCATGGGGTGAGAGCTGCTAGTGAGACTCCTCAGACAGCTGCTGCCTCTGAAGTGCATTTGGTACCCTGCCAAAGTCTGGGCCCATCAATGCCCAGAGTTTACCTGAATGGCAGGAGACATCATGTCTCACTGGTGACCAGGGGCTGGAAAGTCACCAAGACACAGCACACCTCCTAGTGACAGGCCATGGACACCCAGCTTAGGTGGAGTGAAAGAAGGAGAGCTCGTCTCAGGAAACTGAAAACCTTGTATGAGGTCATGGAGGTTGCAGAGCGTCCATCCTGGCAGTTCTAAGGGGCAGGAAGCGCAAGGCCATGCTGCCTGTTTCCACCTCTTAAATAATACGGAAGGAAACTCACACCTTCGATCCCAAGTGCAAAATCCACAGGATGGTTAAGATGAATTAACACACAGGGTTTGGCCCATCTGAGAAACATGAAAGAGTCAAGGGCCAGACCTGATGGTTCCAGACCTGTCATCCCAGTTACTGGGGAAGCTGAGGCAGGAGGATCTCAGCTCAAGGTTGGTAATGGGGTATAGAGTGAGTTCAAGTCCAGTCTGGGAAACTTAGTGAGACCCAGTCCCAAAATAAAAAATCAAAACAGGCTGACAATGTAGCTCAGTGAGGGACTGGGGTGTGACTCAGTAGTAGAGCACCTGCCTAGAATTCCCCAGTGAGGGGCTCGGGGTGTGGCTCGGTGGTAGAGTGTTTGTTTAGTACATGTTAAATTCTAGATTACATGCTCGTTATGCAACTCCCCCTCTCCCGCCAAAGCAACCTCTGTCTTTTCAGGCTGACTCATGCCAGTGACCCCTGTGTGGCTGTAGCCGGATGTGCAGTGAATGCCTCTCTCTCGTAGCCTGTGATGGCACTTTCCCAGCAGCACCTCCAGGGCACACGTGCCTCTGGTCACTCATCTGTTCCCTACCTCAGAGCAGCCCGTTTCTCAATACAGCCCACTGAACCATATGCAAGTGGGCTGAAGGAGAGAGCTGTGTCTCAGACAGGGTCACCCTGCTGCTGGAGCTCAGGTCTCAGAGCTGTAAAATGACCCACTGGGACCACTGGGAGTCAGGGGAATCCCAGACCTGAGCAGGGCTTCCTAGTCTCTAAGAACTGCATATGCAGTGCAGTGGTTCTCACCCTTCCTAATGCTGTGACCCTTTAATACAGTTCCTCATGTTGTGCTGACCCCACCATAAAATTATTTCATTGCCACATCATAACTGTAATTTTGCTACTGCTATGAATCTTAATCTAAGTATCTGATACGCAGGATATCTGACATGTGACTCCTGTGATGTGGTCATTTGATCCCCATAGGAGTCTCAACCCACAGGTTGAGAACCACTGGCATAAAGGAACTTGGGACAGCCACCTAGGAAAGAGAAATTTACACCAGCGTACTGCACTGCCAGTGTTTGGGAGGCTAAAGCTAGAAGGTAGAGAGTTGCAAACCAGCCTACTGCAGCAGGACTCTGCCTTTAAAAGCAATACAAACAAACAAAATCTAAGCAATCCTGCCCCTAAAAACTGTCCTCACAGAAACAAAGTAAAGTGGTGAATGGGCCTGCAAGGTTGTCCTGCTCCAGAGATGACGATAGATTAGGGAAAATTTCAGGACAAGGGATGAGCACTCACTGAACGTTCAGATGTGCTTTCCGCTCTCAGAAAGGGACAGAACCCTCCCTGTGGGAACCCCAGCTGGGATGTATTCCAGACCCAGCACTTGGTGGAAGTCAGGCTTTGGGGGTGTGATGGCATCTGAACTGGGGGACTGTCACTGCCTAATAAGTTGTTGTTGGCCAGTGAAAACCCCTGCCTCAAACAAACCCCAAATAGAAAAACCAAGGACAGCCCCAGAGGAATGACCCCAAGTTGTCCTATCTCCACACACAAGGCACACAGTGGACTGGGTGGTATGCATGCTTTGAGAAAGTGTGAAGGCCCTGAGTGTCAGTCGGCTCCTGGGGACTGGCTTGGCCCTGGCCTGTTCAGCAGCAACCTTGATAATCTCATGCTGGCCCTGTGACAGCCTGGGTCACACCCTGGAGCAGGCAGGGCTCAGCTGCTTCTCTTGACTCCTCAGACATGCCAAGAAACTACCCTGCCTGGTTCAGGAGTCCAGGGCTCCCAGCAGGCAGTGGGCAGCCTCCAGAGAGTCACAGTCACTTTTCCTTGTTTTTTTGTTTTTTGTTTTTTTCCCCGAGACAAGGTTTCTCTGTATTGTTTTGGAGGCTCTCTGTCCTGGAACTTGCTTTGTAGACCAGGCCGGCCTCAAACTCACAGAGATCTGCCTGCCTCTGCCTCCCGAGTGCTGGGATTAAAGGCGTGCGCCACCAACGCCCGGCTACTTTTCCTTGTTTTATTTCTCTTTCTTTTCTTTCCCTTGTTTATATGGGGTGGGGAGCATGTTCATCTTCTATGTATTATTCCAATTTTAGCAAATGTGTTTCGTTTGTTTCTCTAGGAGGCCTTAAACTTGCTATGAAGTTGAAGGAAAGGAGACCTTGAACATCTGATTCTCCTGCCTTGCTCTGCTGTACTTCTGCAGGTTATTGTGAGCAGATATTAAGCTGGGAAAAGAAATCTGAGCACTCCAGCCCAGCCCCTGCTCCAGATAAGCCGTCTCCTGGTCACAGGGCCACTGCTGCTCCTGCAGACACCCTCAAGTCAACACCCTGGCAATGCCAGGTATCAGGGACCCTCTGATCACTTTCTTCCAGTGCCAAACCCATGGCCAAAGCAGAGATCCTAGAATTTCTATGTTTAGGGGAAAAGTACTGTCAAAGGGGGGGGGGCTTACAGTCTGTAGGAACTTTCAGGGCTGTGAAGGGGGCACGATTGGCATGATTGCACTGCACTGGCCACATAGTATGAGGATCTGAATTTAATATCTAGAACCCATGCCAAAAAGCTGGCCACGGTGGCTGCCACTTGCAATCCTAGCTCTGGGAGGCAGAGACAGTAGGA